CAGCATATCGACTTGTGGGGGTGCCGCGATGGCATTTACGAGATGGACGTCAACGCGTCGGTTTATAACCCGTCGACTATGGGACTGCAGGGTATCGGTCCACTCAACATGAGTGTGTACTACAATAGCAGCTACCTGGGCTACGCTTACTCAGAGAAGCCGGATCTGGGCATGCCGCGTGGTCTGAGCAATCAAACCTTCCATGTAGTTATGTCGGAAACCTCCTCGGCACTTGAGGGTGTGATCAATGGTTTCTTGAGTGGCAGGAGCATCGAAGTGGACATTCGCGGCGACAACCCGTACTCGACTGAGTATATGCAATTTAAAAAGGCCTTGAGCATGGTCAATTTGACTGTGGAATACGCCGATGGGCTCGACAAGGTTACGTTCAATACGTCGTGCGTTTCCAGCTTCTTGGCAGTGCTTGGCTTCTAGTACCTTACACGAAACGTATCAGGTTGATATCGCTTTTAGTAACGTAAATCCACTTTGTCCCCTGTTATTTCTGCTGGCGTAGTATACTATCGCCACGATCTACTTGTTGAAGTAAACCAACGTTAGGATCAAAAGCACGGCCACACGAGTTTCCTTTGATATCTAGTAATTGCTTTCAAGTCATTAGTTGTCCGTTCACGCGCTATGTTCAATGGGTCTCTGTTGATCTTCTGTGAGCAGCTCCAGAAAATGCTGCGGGACTGGGATGCCACGTTTCTCCAACTGCTTGCACAGCATCAGCAACTGCGGCCGTGTAGTGTTGATCTCGGTGTCCGTCTCGCGGATCTCCAGGAGCAGCGACAGGTTCGTCTCCATGAGCTTGGCGTTGCTGCTTCGCATCACTTGAAGCTTCTCCCTCATATTTTTCCAGTGTGTGGCACACACCGATAGTGTAATTTATGTTGTACATGATTGGTTGAAAATCGCGCAGCTCTTTTGTGGCTCTGATGCTCATAACCACAGGGCTCTCCAAGATGCTGGCGCGCTCGACGACGAAGCTTGTGTCGGTGATGCAGCGGCCGCAGGGCATTAAGCCGCTGTTGGCTCGTTCCTTCGCGTACGTAAACTCTATATCTTTTTCCATCTTCGTGAAACTCGCGTCCAAGTGTCTTTAGAAATGCGTTAGAAACTGACATTTGTGACTGACAGACACCGCGTGAACATGGTGCTAAAGGAGGATGTGTCCAACCTCGGTTTTCGCGGCGATGAAGTGTCCGTCAAGGCCGGATATGCGCGTAACTTCCTGTATCCTGAAAAGCTTGCTGTTTACGCCACGGATGCCAACCGCGAGAGGTACAAGGTGGACAAGGAGTCTGTGGACGAGGCGTTGCTCGAGAAGGAGCACGAGCTTGAGGCCATCATCCACCGTCTTAGCAACATCGAGGTGGTATTCAAGCGCCACACTGCCGCCAAGACCGAGGTCAAGCTGCACAGCGAGGTGAACGCGCAGAACATCTCGGACATGCTGGAGAAGCAGCACGGTCTCATCGTGGGTGTGGCCCGCATCGATCTCCCCACGCCCATTAAGACATTGGGCGAACACACGGTCAAGGTCCGCGTAGACGACGCGATCGAGGAGGAATACGCTGCTGGCGCCGTCGTGTCGGCCGCGGAAGGCGAAGTGGAGGCTGAGGTTGAGGCTGAAGGCGAGAAAAAGCAGAAGAAGGGACCGTCTAAGAAGAAATGGGTGAGCCTCGCCATCGAGGTCGAGAGGCGGTAGATTGTTAGGCACTCTCGTCCGATACAGGATAGCCGCAAGAGCAGAGAGAAACAGGAAAGCGAGGAGAAAGGTTACACCATGCGTACGCTATCACTAAATGTCCTGGCTGTAGAGAATCTCTGTTACTTGAGAGCATTACAATATCTGCGATCGAATGACTGTCATGTTATTCATGTGCTTAATTTCATCTTGGCGCCACTGCATGCGCGACTTTCGATACTTGGCGCCAACTTGAACGTGGGACTGGTCAGCATCTTCACAATCGATTTTGCTACGACGTACGATGACGGTTCGCAGCTTGAAGACGAAGAAAACTCCAGCGAAGACAGTGCAAAAGCGCAAGCCTGGTGTCACGATGAAGAGCAAGTCCAAGGCGACGCTGCACATTCTGTGGCGAGGCAAGCAGATCACGGAGTTTGGTGAGGATTGTCTGCCATTCACTGTTACTTGGTGATGTCTAAACTTACATTTGGCTTACTGTGCTTTGTGCGAGATAGAATCGCGAGTGTACGAGCTCATTTCAAAGGTACGAGTGCTGCAGCCCTTACAGAGACGATAGTGGTTTCACTAACCATTCAACTGCAGATTCCGGCAGGCAAGGTGAGCACCTACGGCGGCGTGGCGCAAGCACTTCACTCTGGACCACGATGCGTCGGCCAAGCCTTACGTGTACGTGGCGCTGCAGATGTTTGCAGAAGCTGAATCAGTTTTCTAACTACGGTGTTGGATTGCAACTATTGCAGAAGAATCCATTCGCCCCCGAGGTTCCGTGTCACCGCGTCGTGGCTGCTACGCTTGACATTGGAGGCTTTCAAGGTGCTACTTTGAGAAGATATTGGATAAAGGGTGTAGGCTGAACACGATATTTATTATGTAGGTGCAACTGGAGAGGATTCGCCTTGCATCCAGAAGAAGCGGACACTGTTGGCAAAGGAAGGAGTTCGCTTTACGAAGGAGCACAAGGTGATGCACTGCGCTGTGCCTTACTGCGATACTTTTACGGCGTGCTAACGTTGCTTGTTATATAGATCGATGCAGCCTGCCTCCATGAGTTCGAATAACCAAGCCATTTGAGTATTCATCAACATCTAAGTCCATTACAAAGTGTATGTCTTCCACTCTAAAGCTTATCATTCGGTTGCAAGTATCTCCACTGCCCAACAGGCAGTGAGCCAAGCTTCACGCCACCAATGCGTACACGCTTGAGTGCCATCACACGCAGTCCGACATGTTCACACATACGGCGAATGTGTCGGTTCTTACCTTCCGTAAGAATCACTCGCAGTTGATTGGCGTTTAGGATCTCCACCGACTTGGCGCGATAAGTAATACCCTCATCCGACGTGACGCCCGCTCGCAGTACCTCAATTTTCCTGCGGATCTTGTCTGTCAACGGATCCAAGTTGAGATCCACACGCACGAGGTATTCCTTCTCGATCCCGCCCTTGGGGTCCAACAACTTCTTCGCTACCGTCCCGTCCTGAGTAAATAGCAGCAGTCCCGTCGAATTAACGTCCAGACGGCCACAGACTGCCATCTTCCACAGCGCCACAGGCTCCACATTCTGTCGAGGCTTTACGCGACTCAGCTCTTGGCATTCGTTTTCAAAGGTAAGCAATCGGACGGCTGGAGTCTTGTTGTCCTCCGGTTGAGACGACACATAGCCCAAGGGCTTGTTCAACACCAGCGTTACCTTCTTGTTTTGGTGTCTTTGAGCTCGGAAGTCCAGACGGACATCGCTTTCCGCAGGCACCTTTAGCCAATCGGCCTGAACACGTTCACCATTGACCAATACATCTCCAGCTTGGATGTACGCTTCCGCTTCACGTCTTGAACACAGGCCCTTCTGCGCCATCAGCTTTGCCAGTCGAACTAGACCTTTGTCATCGTCTTGAGAAGAGATAGGCGAACTACTGGAGACATTGGCAACCTGTAGCAGCGACGCGGTGCCGTGCACCCGACGCGTCAATGCCGGCCGAAGTGTCGAGCTGA